ATAGTTACAGTGTACTAGAATACCAAGCATTCTAGTACACTGTAATATAGTGCTCTAGCCAGCACCAGCGGTTGAGCGGCACGAGCGCCGCGACGGCAGAAATCGCGCCGCTCTAAGCGCTCATTCACACTGGAAGCGGATCCGCGTTCGTAAAGCGGTTGCGAACGCGGTTGTATAAAGATCCAGTACAATTGCACGCGCACTTGATGTCATCGAGTGCGCGTGCAATTGCACTGGATCTTTATACAACCGCGTTCGCAACCGCTTTGCGAACGCGGATCCGCTCCCAGTGTGAATGAGCGGTAAGGCCAAAATCGCTGCATGTGAAACACGCTTTACTCGGGCGGCGTTCGATCGGATTATTAACAGCGTGCAAGGGGGGTGGGGAGGTAGTTTGCCAGATCGCTTCAAGGTTTTTCTGAGCCTCAACTTCCTGCCGGCCCCTGGCCGTTTCTAACTTGATGAGTATCGTAAAACAGTGCGTTCGTGTGATCACTACTGCGTGATGCACACCCCCGGGCTGGCGGTCACAATTACTGATCTATGGTCACACGCCACTCTGCACTGGCAAATATTCTAGCACATCCGGGACACTCGTCATCTCATTTAATTGCCTGACTAACTTCGCGCAGTCTAAATATCACATCCGAACTTTTCTAAACCTTATTTCGTGAAAACCTGGAGTGAGGCGGGAAAACGTTATTTGAAACTGAAACTGGGTGGAGGAACATGAAACCCGGACTTCGAACTTTGAAAACTTGGACTTGAAGGAAATTCGAAATCTTCGAAGTTTATTTCTCATTTAGGACTAAAAGAGAATCGAAACCTTCGAACTTTTCGACTTTATAAAGAAATAAATTCGAAATCTTCGATTTTTTAATTTTTATGCCTATAAAAATTCGAAGTGTTCGATTTTTCGACTTTTAGATCCAAAGAAATTTTAATTTCTAACGCCACCTACTTATGTTTCATCCCGCGTAGACCACCAGTACAAAGTCGGTATCCCCAATTACAAAACTAACACTTATTATAACTAGGGGTGTCGCGAACCGGCCGCGGTTCTAGTTCGACCAGGTTCGACTTTTTCGAACTTTTAGTGGAAAGTTCGTCGAACCTTGTATTGAGGTTCGACTCGTGTGCGCATGCGCGACAGGCTGACCAGTTGGCTTCGGATTGGATGGTAATGGCTAAGAGATGAATTAAGTGCAGCGCTGATCCGCTATTTCAGTCAATACAGTACTAAAATTTAAGTTATTAACTTCTTCAGTGAATAGAATTAGTGCCTTTCAATTGCAGCTGTTCACAAAATAAAATAACCCTTTGCATAAAAAAAAAATTCTCCAAACCTAGACATGCTTGTATCAAGGTCTGGCCACACTGTCCACAAAGTCGAACCGGTCGAATCTGGTGAAAAGTTCGAAGGTTCGTCGAACCGGTTCGACCAAGTCGAACCCCCAAAGTTCGACCAAAAAATCTGGTTCGACAAAAGTTCGCGACACCCCTAATTATAACTAGGGGTGTCGCGAACCGGCCGAGCTTCGAGTTCGACCAGGTTCGACTTTTTCGAACTTTTAGTGGAAAATTCGACGAACCTTGTATTGAGGTTCGACTCGTGTGCGCATGCGCCACAGGCTGGCCAGATGACTTCGGATTGGATGGTGATGGCTAAGGAATGAATTAAGGGTAGCGCTGATTGGTTATTTCAGCTAATACAGTACAAAAAATTCAGTTATTAACTTCTTCAGTGATTAGAATTGGTTCGTTTTAATTGCAACTGTTTATAAAATAAAAAAAAATATTTTGCATAAAATTTGTTTTTCCAAACTTAGACATGCTTGCATCAAGGCCTGGCCACACTGTCCACAAAGTCGAACCGGTCGAATCTGGTGAAAAGTTCGAAGGTTCGTCGAACCGGTTCGATTCAGTCGAACCCCGAAAGTTCGACCTAAAAATCTGGTTCGACAAAAGTTCGCCACACCCCTAATTATAACTAGGGGTGTCGAGAACCGGCAGAGGTTCGAGTTCGACCAGGTTCGACTTTTTCGACCTTTTTGTGGAAATTTCGACGAACCTTGTATTGAGGTTCGACTCGTGTGCGCATGCGCGACAGGCTGGCCAGTTGGCTTCGGATTGGATGGTAATGGCTAAGAGATTAATTAAGGGCACCGTTTATTGGTTATTTCAATTAATACAGTACAAAATAATTAAGTTATTACTGTCTTCAGTAATTAGAATTGGTTTCTTTTTATTGCAACTGTTCATAAAATAAAATAACCCTTTGCATAAAAATAAATTCTCCAAACCTAGACATGCGTGTATCAAGGTCTGGCCACACTGTCCGCAAAGTCGAACCGGTCGAATCTCGTGAAAAGTTTCGAAGGTTCGTGGAACCGGTTCGACCCCGTCGAACCCCGAAAGTTCGACCTAAAAATCCGGTTCGACAAAAGTACGCGACACCCCTTAATTATAACTCCTTTGTTCCTCGCACTAGCTCTGATTGGAATCGCCTTTCCGCTGACATAGCCTCCATAACCAATATTAGTGATTTTAAAAATGCCTTGTTTGTTAATTTTGATTAACCATTTTCTAGTTGGTATTACTGTTATAACATTGTGTAAATATTTTTGAAGTGTCTGAGCAAGCGTGCATTAATTACTGTATTATATTTTATGTATCAACAACTGTACCCCTGCCCCCCCCCCCCCCCCCCCCCCCCCCCCACTCCCCTCCCCTCTGTAATGCCCTTCGGGGCCTTGAGGGTAAATAAATAAATAAATAAATAAATAAATCTTCCAATTTTTCGAACTTCAAATTCAAAGAAATTCGAATTCTTCAATTTTTCGAGCTTCAGATTTCAAGAAATTCCAATCTTTCGAATCTCTCGATTTCAAGTTGGGAAAGGTCAAAATCTTCGAATTTCTCGAGCCTCAAGTAAAAAGTTATTTGAAATATTCGAACCCGAACTTTTAGAAACCGTGAAAGCTTCGGACTAAACTCCATGGTGCTCGAAAGTTGCGAATTTTTCGAAACTCGACCTTCGGTCGATATGAAAATATCGAAATCTTTCGATATCGAACCTCAGTTTGGTTCGAAAATATCGAAACCTTTCGAATTCGAACCTAGGGTGCTTCGCGACATCCCTAGCGGAAATACAGTCATTGCACAGACGAGCTGGTGGAAGTTTACAATTTACCTCTTTATTTTTCTGCCACTGTCATAACGGTTTTTTCTTTCTGTCCCAATCAATCGTGGTAATCAGAGGGCTCAAATCGAAAGCAAATCTAGATTTAACGTGAAACAACTGGAACACTGATTTAAAATTGAGAAAAATATAAAAGTGCTGTTTTATTTACATTTGAATTAAATTTTACCTTTAATTACATTTCATTGCCAATATTTGCGACAATCAAGTTTTATGAATTTCTTGGACATTCATGATCCAATGTGGCAACATTGTAGACGTGCCGATCACTGATCTCAATGACAATTGCTGGATCGCGCTTGCCGCTCCCGCAAGTGAAGCCACCGGGCTTCACTCGCTTGGGATACGATTTGCCGTTTTTGCTAGCCTTTGCTGCGGTTTTCCAGCGTGCTGACGACACGTTTTCTACTCGTTCGTCGTCATTCGCCGAAGAAGTTTTTTGAAGACTCTGTGTATTGCTGAGACTTGCCGTTGTGAACACGTGGAAAATTTTATGAAAGTGCAGTGTCGCAGGAAAAAGGCACAACGCGTCGAAAAGAAGGGCTGGCGGCGTGTTCAAAGCTTCCTTGGCACGCCGAAGTGCCGTGTCTCTGTGCCTTCGCGCGCTTGGATACCGACCAAGAACCGACGCCGTGTGAATGTGTTTAGCGAGTGCAATGTGCGTGAACCCGTATCAAAAGGTACAACTCGTCGAAAACGTGTCGCCGGTGTCGCGGCGTGATCAAAGCTTCCTTGGCACGCCGAATGATGCATCTTTGTGCCTTCGCACGCTTGGATACCGGTCAAGAATTGACGCCGCGTCAAAGTTCTGAACGTGTGTCGCGCGTAGATGCCTTAAGATCATTTATATATATCGGCCACGGAGTTCTGGATCGTCCAGCTGTTCCGGTGAGTTGCTATCAATAAAAGGGGGAGATCTCTACGTGTTCTTATGTACTATATTAACCATGGCTATGTCCCAAATCTACTCTAATAGATTCCGTGGGAGCACGAATAGGGCAACGTTGTGGAGCCAGGGGGGTTTTCGAAAGCAAAAGTACAAGACGGCGAGAATGAAAATCTTTGAAGCGCGGCCGATATGGTCGTGTGCAATCAGTTGACCAATTACAATTAGGCGAGCCGCGCTCAAACGTCAAGTGCAATTAAGTAGGTTGATAATCAGCCAGCACTGATCAGTGATGAGGAGCTGTTGTGCACGGTATTGTGTAAATCGTCTAAGGACGAAAAAATGACGTACCTTCTCCCCATCTTCCGTCGCTAGTGGACGCTGGATTCGTTCCTAAACCGCGAGGGGAAAAGACGCTGATCCAGAGGCACGAACAGCTTGACGCACATTGCACTCGCTGAACACATACACACGGCGTCGGTTCTTGGTCGGTATCCAAGCGTGCGAAGGCACAGAGACACGGCACTTCGGCGTGCCAAGGAAGCTTTGAACACGCCGCCAGCCCTTCCTCTCGACGCGTTGTGCCTTTTTCCTGCGACACTGCACTTTCGTAAAATTTTCCACGTGTTCACAACGGCAAGTCTCAACAATATAAAGAGTCTTCAAAAAACTTCTTCGGCGAATGACGATGAACGAGTAGAAAACGTGTCGTCAGCACGCTGGAAAACCGCAGCAAAGGCTAGCAAAAACGGCAAATCGTATCCCAAGCGAGTGAAGCCCGGTGGCTTCACTTGCGCTGCAGCGAACAAGCGGGGAAGCGCGATCCAGCAATTGTCATAGAGATCAGTGGTGCCGATGCCACAAGGCAAGGCTAGACTACAGCTAGACGGCGCAAGCTACCGCACAATACAAAATCCACCAGATGCATCAAATCTACCATCAATCATCAATCAGGCTCTGTCATCAATCCATCTCTCCATCCATACCCAGCCAACCCACCCAGCCGGCAACCGTCGCGCATTTGAAATCTGAAATCTGCAGGTAACGACACGAAAAGCAAGCAGACGCAAGACAGAGAAGCGTTGAACTTTTCTTCCTGCAAACGAAACTTCCTCGTCGTGGTGAGTGAATCAACCCGTGTAGATGAAATGATTTCCTCGTAAGCTGCCGTAACCTAGCGTGGAAATATCGGTCCATGGAGTCGACGCACCATCAGAGCTACTGATTTCTAAAGCGGACCAGACAGAAGCAAGACTTGAGTTTTCCTCTTCTCGGCGAGGTTTTCAGGTGACCAGTCCCCAGACTGAGCTCGTTGCCGTCAGCGAAGGCTGACGGCAGCGGGTGGAGAAGTCAATGTCACTGTACGATCTTGTGTGGCGTCGTGCAGTTTAAGCATGGGCAGCACTGACTGTTATTTTCACTCCAGTATTATTTTCAACAACACAATCAGTCGCTGAACGACGAATGCCGTCATAATTGGCCACACCCTGTCGTTCTTGCGCTCTTCTGTTTGCGCCGCATAGCAGGGTGCACGGAAGTTCAAAATGGTATATGCATTGGCCTCTGAAATTTCTAATGTCATAGGCCCTGAGCACATGTCTAGGAGGTGTCGCAGTTGGGTGATAGTCAGCTCTTCCACAGGCAAAAAAGCGAAACCATGGATTTCGCTTTTTTCGCGTCGCCAGACTACGTCCAGATGCGTCCAGACGCCCGCGTCCAGACGCCAGACGACGCGACGTCTGGCGCGTCGTCTGCTACTCCTGCCCTCTTCCTTGCTGCTAACTTCCAAACACGGAGCTGATTTTGCTTGACTGCCTACGCTCCCGCAAGTGCTGAAAACGTAGTGACCGGTCTGTCTGAGGTAGAACTGAGCTGTTCCTTTGGTATTGTAGACATGATGCTCCAGGCATATCCTGGACGATCCATGAAATGTACCGCGACGCTAAAGACACAGACGCAACACGGCCGTGTTGACCTTTGTCTCGGGTTGCTAACCACTGTGATTAAAGGGAAGCTGGAGCGGTTTTGAATTTGATTAGAAACACTTGATTCTGTTTAATTCAACTTCAAGCATCACGAATATCACAAAAAGTAGGCTATTTCATGCCCGTATTACCTGACAAGGCGCTTTGGAAGTTGTGTTGAAACCACGCCTTTCAGCAGCAGCAGGAGAAGGGAAAGCATGATGTCACACATGCTCCTTGGCTTGCAGAGCCAGCGTCGCGCGTCGTCATTACTGAGCTATTTGGGGATTAATGCTTCTGAAAGATGCCAGTTGAACATAGGAAGATACACAAAGAGAGAAAAGAGGACATATGCACTGCTGGACTAGCAACCATTTACTGAAAATCTTCTTTCACAGCCATTAGTTTCATATAATTGAAGATAAAGTGAGTAGGCAGGCAAGCTGGTTGATGTTACACATTTTTGAAAAACCAGAGCAACACACAAAACGTCTTGTTTTGTGTGCTGTCCCCTTTTTCGGCAGTCATCTCCAGTTTTTCAAAAATTAGTTTCGTATCTCTGAACTAATGGGTTTGGAGGAAGAGGTTTATCTTCAGTAAATGGTTGCTAGTCCAGCAGTTCCAAGCATCTTTCTACAGAGGAGGCTGGTACTTCAGCGAATCCAAGTACAGGGGTGGAACGGCTGCGCCATTTGCGCCATTTTGCGCCAGATGCCTGTGTCTGCGCCATCGTGCGCCATGTTGCAGAAACTGTGCCACAGCCAATACCTCGCACCGTTATGCATCAAATCGCAAAACGTGCGCCAAAAAACTTTATTTTGTCTTGGTTTCGGTTTTATTGACTCGATTGGCAACAATGAACGCATTTAGCCTGGTTGGCCTTGCAATTCTTTGTTCTGTTTATTCTCCCTGTGTATCCCGAGTCGGAAGCGCGCAAAAAAAACTGATTCTAAGCGCTACACCACCTGCAACTGAATTGTTATTCTTCAACCATAAGCAGTTAAGCAAGTCGGCTGAGGTGAGGTCGAGTCGTTAAACGTCAGATTGCCTGAGGCTCTGCGGACGTCAGCCAGTTGAAAACAAATGAGCAAGTGATTCCTTTTAGTGCTTCATCGTTAGAAGTCGAAACCGCATTCTCTCAAGATAAATCGTGATTTGATAGAAATGAAATGCGGTCCGATCCGAAACCTTGCCGGCCAGCAGCTCTTACGCAAGTGGTAGATGTACTTGGCGTACATTAACCTTGCTCCTGCTTATTGCTTCAAATACAATAACTTTGTTAATCGTAGTATGCTGCTTCGATATTGAGTTGCACAATAGGATAAACTCGAAATTCGTTGCTCTGTTCCTCCGTGCAAGTGCACGTCCGTTGCTTACGCACGTCACGTGGTTCACACATATAATTACTATGTCGAGCACGTGTGGGTTGTGCGATAAGCATTGCTGGTTTGCATTTTGAGCAGCTGAAAGCTACTCAGAAAATATTAAGGATGCTATCTTCAGAAACATAGGTTACTTGCTTTTTGATTCTCATTAAGGCTCACAAAGTTTCAAGTTTTCGCATCTGTTTCACTGTTATCCCACCTACCTAGGTCCCTAACCACTCATGTTCATCTGTGCTGCTAAGCACGATTGTAATTGCTCCCGTGCTCATCTGAGACCCAAGCTGGAGTGCAATGAAAACTGATCTGAGCTGCTCCTAGCCTGCTCCAGAACGTAGTTTTAGCTGCTCCCAACCTGCTCCAAAACAGCTGTTTCAGCTGCTCCCGTGGCTGCTCCCAAGTACATTTCAGGAGTTCCAACCCTGAAGTAGCTTCTGCGATGCCGAGACAAAATGTGGTAAGGATAGCTAGTTGATCTTTGTGCGAAAGATGCACTTCGAATCACGCCTGGTCATTTTACGACGTCGCGCCTCAACCAACCAATGACGTTCAGCTGCGACAAAGGGCAACCTGTTTTTCCTTTTCTTTTTTTTTTTTTTTTCTTTTTTCATGTTTTGTTTTGTTTTGAGGACAGATAATGGTGATATTTATCTCCTCCCGGAGAAACTGCCAGAAAAAAAAGCATTAACTTGTTTTTTTTAAACTGTTTTAGCTTTTCTTTAACATTCACTAGATCCTACCCTTAAAGGGGAGCTGCGGTGTCGATTTGAATGTTTTCAACGAAACACATTTACTTACTGAAAGAGCACAAGAAACTAAGCCTAAATCAGCAAATGAATTTCCCTTAAAATTTTTTTAAATAATTTTAATAGTACAAATATGATGTAGGTTAGTTTCGGTCTTGGTTCGTCTGTCATCTTGTTGTGACGTCAGATGTTCTATAAATATGAGCGCATGGACAGCTTGAGCCTGTTTCGCCTGGCATCCGAAGCAGTCAGGAGGTCGTCTCGATCCTCCGTGGGAAATAATGGACTATGATTCATCAAGCTTGTTGTACTCAATCAATGCCAGAAAATGTGTCAAGATTTTCAGTACGAGATTGCAGACGATTCGCTGCTTGCATTCGATCCATGGCATCACCTCCAAGGGGACCTCCTGTGGGAACTGCATTCGCGATCTGCTGACACGTGGATGCAGATGCTGCATGAAAGGTTTTATTTGCTAGCAAGGTGTGAACTGCTGGGACCTGCTTCTGCAGCAGAGACTTCTCGTCTCGGTTAGAAACCAATAAGATGTCACTCTGCTGTATTTCTTATTGCACCCCGCAGCCAATCACCAATCCCCTCCATCGCATGCAGCAAACAGCCTAAATCAGATGCAATTCGCAAAACTACAGACATTCGCTATCACTAAAACGCCATGGGTTTAGGGAGCGTCGTGTGCTCTGGGATACAACATTTGACGTCACGAGTGCCCCTGCTCGTTGTTGCCAGTAGAGCGGCAGCAAGTGATTTGGAGTTGTACGCGTAAACTTCAAAATTCATTATCTCAAAAAAAAATATTGGGCGTTTCGTAGACACTCGCAAAGGTGGTCAGAATAAAATGGCATCCGAAGATGAGGATGAGTAATATTTTTCCGGAGCTCCTCTTTAATCAAATCGACAGTCAGCCTCAGTCAAACGTTGAATAGCAACCAGACAAATCTCAGAGTAACGCTGAGCTCTTTACCAGAGAACATTAACAAGTGTTGCAAAAACAGCGTATCGTAGTCGGGACACAAAAAATGTTCCAGCGTGCGGCTGTTCTTTTGCTCATCCACAGCCACAAATGCAGTTTTGACTGAGTGCTACAACAAGCAAATCAATCGAAGATACACAGTATCACATGGAGAGGATTAAGTGGTCGCCAGAGCTCAGAAAATAGATGAAATGTGTGCAAAACGCAGCATTCCATCTCCAGACATCATGGTTATCACGGGCACCCATCATATGAGCCAAGACGCGGTCCGTGTCACGCAGCTGCGGTGGCTCTGTCGACGGCATGCGCAGATGCTTCACTTCACGCGAATTCGGTTTCTGTGCCTGCGTAGTGCCCACACCTGGTGTGAGCAAACGCGGGCTTGTTTGTAAACAGCGTGTCGGTCTATACGATAAACAAGGACCTCGCGCTTGTAGCCTTCACTGTTTTACATGTTCGAATGATGCATAGTATAGTTTTAATAGTTGACTAAAATAAATAAAGTTGTTTGTTTGTGCTGTGTTGTGTGCTATGCAGTGCAAGCATGGTGCAAATGACGAAGTGCACTTCCCATCTTTCGGAAGTTACGCACCAGATCGTGCCACATGTCAGGGGCAAACTTTATGGCACGGTTCCTATACCTGTCTCAAAAGCTTGACAATATGAGCATCCAAAGACACTTCTTAATTGATGTTATTTTTTTGCAGATGTCTCGAGACAGAACCATGGTGCATACCATGACTTTTTCACCTCCCTCAAAACGGGACGACACCGCCTCCAAGCCTGTCACCGCCAAAACAGAAGTACTGCTTTTACAGCCCTTCTCACGGGCTCCACAACTGTGCTTTGATGACATATCTGTGGGAACCGAGGCCAGCCAATCCATCAAAGTATGCAACACATCCGTCGTTGAGCAGACGGTTTTCATTGAGCGTGTTCCTCGCAACAAAGGGTTTTCCGTCGATGCTGAAGTCTTCAAAGTGGCACCCCGAGGACATGAGACATTGACTGTCAAGTGGATTCCTGCCGACAATGATGCAAGCTGCAGGGTCACCATCAATGTGCGGTCGGACCAAGGGTACAAGGGAGGGCTGGTCGTGCTTGCAACGGTCAAGAAGTCTGTCAAGAGGGTAAGAGCTGAAGAAACATGCAATCTGCCCACATTCATGTACCATTGGGCCCTAATGATATGTTAACGGCAGAGCACGGTACTTTCGATACATGCTGTGGACCACCTGCTGTGAACCAAGGGCACGTGGAGGGCCACTGGGAACTTTTAAAAAATGTGCAGTAGAGCCCCCCCCTCTACTGCAAATTTTAATGTTTTCCCAATTGTCGTCCAGGTAGCAAGCATGTGTCAAAAGACATACCGTAAAATACCGGGCAAGCGCCCACTCAAACTTCAGAGATAATCACAAAAAATAGGGGATGAGCGCTTGTCCGGTCATCAATTTTACATATAAATGTACTGTACATATTTTCTCAGATCTTACAAATTTGGGGATGGGCGCTTAATGTGGAATGGGCGGATGTGCGGTATTCTATGGTATGTTCTGCCATTCACATTTTATTAGGGCTCGATAGTACAAATATGCTATGCGTGCGAGTGGGTTAATGGGGTTGCTGTCCTGCTGAGGGGTCTGGGTCATTCCATTGAAAGCTTTATTGTCAACAAAAGTTTTATTGACAGCTTTTTTTTTTTTACCCTCTAGCTGAGAACAGAGCTTTTGCTAAATTACCCAGGCACCAAGGAGCATGCTGCGAGTGTAGTTGCACGTGCCGGCATCTGTATTCAAAGAGCCAAAGGTTGCCTGTTGAAGACAACAATATGAAGGTTGTAGGCAGTGATCGAGGGAAGCTGTAGTGGCTGCATCTGAAACCGCCAACTCCCGAGGGAACCGATTGGCCCTCCGAACACGACAGTATGCAAATTGTTGTGTGGTTGGAATTCCCATCCTTCGCCAAGTTGGAACCCCTGCGCTAAAATGCTAACGCATTTCGTCGAGAATAAGTATAGTGACAGCGGTGATTTTGACATAATTTTTGTTTGATACCACTCTTGCTAACTAAGGTAGTCATCCTGCCAAACTAGTCATCCTAAGCTTCACCTGACTCAGAATATTTTTCACTTCTTGGAAGCTTGTTAGTAACACAGTTATTATGTTTTGAATTTCTTCTAGGCCTCAAGACAACCACAAAAGCCCCGTACCAAAGTTCTGGCCCAGTCGCAACAGCTCAACCTTCCGCCGAGCGTTAAGGAAGCTGCACCGGCCCCAGCGCATACAAAGAAGCGAAAAGTCACCGTGCCGCTGGAATTTAAGTTGAAGACAAAAACACTGCACGGCATCAGAACCAAACCTGTCTTCGCTCGACCAGCAGAAAAGTCTACACCAGTCCGTAAGGCCCAACAAACTGCCAAGACCGCTGACAAAGGTTCGGACCTGGTCCGCCGAGAGTCGTATGTCTGCATCACAGCTCACGATGCAGTCCTCGCCGCTGCAGCAGCAGCAGCCGTGGGAGAATTCGACGACAGCCTCGATGCAGAAGGTACGTCTACGATCAACAAGGAGATCAGAGACTCTACTTTCACTCCGCCGTCGAGTCCACAGGACAATGAGAGAGCGAGCGTGTGCAAGGGGGACACGTTCAACTCCGACCCCGACTTCAGTGCCAGGATGGAGGAATTTTATGAAAAGGTCCTCCAGCACCTGGATCCCAATGCAGATCCGATGAAATCTCCGTCTCACCACGAGTTCAGTCTGCGAATGCAGGAACGTTACGAGAAAGCATTGTCACGGTGCCCGTGTGAGTCGGGGTCCTTTGCCGCAGCGGGACCAGAAAAACAGCAAGACAGCACGCGTGGCCGCAAGTTTAGCACGCCGACGTTGCCCGACATTGCTGATGTCGTAGCACAGTTAGATCAGGGTCTTAATCTGGGGGGCGACACCAATGACAGTGTCACCAGCTCGCTTCTCGACATTATCCGGAAGTATGCTGACGATGACGACGACGAACCCCTCAGACTGGAGGAGTTCTTCCCGGCAGATGTCAGCAGCATTTACGGGTCACCCTAGGGAGGCTCTCTAGCTCACCCTCGGCATATTAGTTCCTCCTGATGTCGAGAAGGTGCCAAGTGAATGGCAGCGTGCTTGGCATAAATATTATAATAACTGTCAAGGTCACGTGACAATTTTTTTTTTTAAATCTTTATCCTTTGCGTTTTCTGCGGGAAAAAGAGTGGCCAATTATATTTTTAAAAAATAATGGTTTGTGCCACCTCCTTACCAGAATGTCCCACACAATACAGGCAACCCTTGATTATGAATTTGCCATTTCTAAGGCCTCAGAAGCCCTTGAATTGCCATAGTAGCCAAACATGGTGTGTTTGGCTCAAAAATCTGCATAAAGTGCATTTAAACTTTTATTCTTTTCTATTATTATTACTTTAGTCATTTCAAACTTGAACACCACTTCAAGAAAAGTGGTGTTCTCATCACTTCTCTTGAATTCAGCATCCAATATCGCATGTTCTCGTCACTCTTCCCAAAGTGAAGAGAACTTGCGATATCACATGCAGTAAAAAATGCTTGCATTATCGCTATTCACTTCGAACGACAGATTTTGTGTTTTCTGATTGCTTGAAGAATGTCTCGGCACATCATTGAGATCTCGAATCTTTTAAATAAAAATGTGAAAACCATGCTTATGCACAATGTTTATTTTGTTTTTTTTTAAATAAATTTAGTGTTTATTTCCTTCTTTCTTTCTTCAGTTGTATATGCCAGTGGTGGAACTGCTGCACCAAACTACGCCAGAACGAACAACCTGCTACATGCTGCTCTAAAGGCTGTATTTGTGCACAATTTGCACCAAAAGAGCTGTTCTTGAAAAGGAAACAATGTCTGCATTGGCTTGGCGGTGCCACTGAAAATGAAAAACGTACATTGACAAATGGGCTAGTTGGTAGTTCATTTTAACAAAGCAGGGACACTGACGGAGCAGAAGACTGAAGACAAACACTGCACTGACTTACAACTGAGCTGTAATGGATCTGAGGGGGGGAAGTGTTGAGATACATAATAATGGATCTGACAATGCGTATAAATACAAACTTTGCCCACACCAAAAGCAAAGAAGGGAAACAACACTTCAGAAGGACGACATGTGTTCCTAGAGTCATCTGCACGCACTGCTCTTCTCCGATCTACAAAGAAACGTGCTCTGCTTTACCGACAAGACAAGTGACTGGGCACTATCACATTCTGACCCCGCTTGTCCGATAACGCATGCTTCTATAATCTCGCGTGCGAGTTTGTCCTACTGATGACTGTACATTTTCAAAGGCTGGAGTACATCCGCGGGGGCGGCAGTGCATACCAAAATGGCCCGACACAACCTGTGATACATTGTACCAGTGCTCTCTTAACCGCTCATTAAGACAGCGTCCTGTCTGCCCTATGTATCTGCAGCCGCACGAAAAAGGGATAGAATACACCACTTCCACAATGCATGATACAAAATGGTTTTGGTGTTTCTTAGTGCATATTCGTTTATCTCGCATCAGAATTCACTTTCTTGCACATCCTAGACAGTTTGTCCAGAGCCGAGAAGACTAAATAAACACCAACTTAATACAGTAGTACAGAAATATTGCAGTACTATTGTGCCTACCACTGGTGAAAAATTTAGAATTGAAGTAAATATTTGCATATAGCAAGATTTATAAATCACCTCATTTAGGTACGGCTGGGCTCCTTTATAGGTTTAATTCTATGTAAAGTCTGTCGTTTACTTGCCATCCCAATGTAGGTATCGGACTTTCTGAGGCCAGTCTATAAATATAGCTAGATGAGCTTGTAAGTGGGCAATTAGAAGCTTGGGAACAACCTTCACGAGTTAAGCTGAATTTTCGTTTAAGCATGGTGTAACAGTAGTGAAAGGCGTAGATGAGGCAGCAACTATTCAATATTCAATTAAGAAATGTTCGACCAAAATTACTATTGACCGAGTTTGCTTTGAACCCAAATTCCATTATTTGCACATGCCTAACGAAGACTTATCGGTTTTTTGTGCGAACGGTACCACCAATCGCAATGAATAGCTAGGTCTATTCATTCTGATCCGTTAGAGTAGCTATGTGCTTTGCATGGGTGCTCTATGAACAGTAGCAGGTGGAATATGAGCGAGCACAGCGTGATACAAACCCTACAAAGTAGCCAACATCTTATGTAAAACAGACCGAAAACACCATCGGCACTCCTAATGGGTTAATTCAGACATCTGCAAAATTATCGCCGTACGATTGTTCAATAAATAAATATCTGTAGTGGCTAGGTCCCCTGTAGGTATGACACTTTAAACAGTTTCCTCACTCCAACTGCACTTTTTTCCACAGGCTAACTTTCAAAGAGATTATAAAATTTTCTGACATGAAAGCTCCAAAACCCTCTCTCCCCTGCTACAACAGCTGCTCCAAATCACCACTTGTCAGTTCCACCACTGACATGCCCAAGAAATAGGGGCTTGCCGATCAACTATGCTTTGTGCAGGTTTATTTTGGGATAAAACCTTTTGTATAATGTGTTTATTTTTCTTTTATTTGCTCCCCAGTTCACTGTGAGGCAAGCAGAATAGAATGCCCGACAAAGTCTCTGGCAAGATACACGTTCCAGTTCCGAGTGCATTCCACCAATTATATGCTCGGTTTCCTTGACGAATATTATGCTTACAGAACGGAGTGCATAGAAAACTGGCCAAATTTTTTCTCTGAAAACTATACCGCACAGAATAGGTATTGATTTACCACCAAGGGGCCCATTTAGCCAGGTGCATAGCATAAATTTGATTTAGGCAAACGTGTGGTTTCACGATTCAAACCGGAGACGACGAAGAAGAAACGCACACGTCTCTTGTCGTGTGTTTGTCCCTGGTCCCCGTTGTCGCCTCCGGCTAGAATCATGTGTAACATTAACCAGCTCGCCTGTTTATTAATCTTGTCTTCTATCATCAATGCGAGAGACGTGGTCGCCTCCACGTCTCTTGCATTGTTGGCCAAGGACTTCGCCAACCAGGCATGGGCAAAATACATGCAAATATGTATCGAAATACAAATACAAAGTAATTAGTCAAAAATGTATTTAATTACAAATCTAATTACATTTCCAAAAAAGCATTTAATTACAAGATACAAATACAACCAAATGTATTTGGTCTCCTCCAAATACTTTTCCAAATACATTCCTCGAAATTTGCGTCAGCGACTTCAGGGCACCTGCAACGGGTTTCTGGGTATCTCATTTTAATTTTGCATCGCACACTCAGGAGTTAGTGTGCGAGGCTCTAGTAACGTAACATAAATATAATCACACAAAAAATGTAATCAGCTTGGACGTAATAGGTGAAAAAAGTACAGAGCTTCAAGCAGTTTTCTTTTTCTTTTTTTTTTTGTCAATTACATTTTGGTATAGACCAACAAAGAACCGAGAAGACCAACACGCGCAGCACTAGCTAGAGAATTTTTTATTGTTGCAACTCGCACCAGTTAAGAAAATCTGGACGACCCGCGCATTTAGAATGTTCCAGGTAAAAATATGGATGGAAATTAGGCTGGAAAGCATGACAAGTTGTCACAGGCACTTATTTAGCCAGTCTTCCTGTGAATGTCGATTTCGTCACTATTCTTGCCCTGGACTAGCACCGTAATTACAAAGTCACTAAACGCTTGTGCTTGATTGAGAGACACTGCATTCGGTGCAGAAGGTAGTTTTCTTCCTGCTCTGGACAGTGACAATAAATTTGAGAGATGTATTTTCGCCCGCAAAATTGTATCTAATTACAATTGTATTTGAAATACCCATGTTTTAGTATTTAAATACACACGTCAAATACATTACCCGATTTGTAATTAAATACAAATGCAAAATACACAAAGTATTTAAAATATGTATTTCAATTACTTGTATTTGAAATACTGCCCATCCCTGTCGCCAACTAAGTGCAATTTCGCAGATGACAAAAAAAATTTTGTCGCTCCGAGTGTCTTTTATGTCTGTATTGTGCATTGGTTAGATCACGCCTCGAGTTCACGTCTGTGGTTTGGAACTCTGTAACAATGTTACATAGTAATCTTATTGAAAACGTTTAGCGTAAGTTTATAAGAATCTTAAAACGACCAATATATCGGCCGCCGCCGTTTCTACAATTACCATTCCCTGCTCACTGACCTCGGTTTAGTGCCTCTGCACGATAGACGAATTGCAAGAGACATGCATTTCCTGCGTCAAATTGTGCATGGTTCTCTTGATTGTGCCCAGCTGCTGATGTCGCTGAGGTTCCGGGTACCGTCAGGGAGGACATCAAAATGCAGACACGTTTTATCCTGATGTGCGGGCCACTTGCCCAATGACACGTCTGCAACAGACTCGCGATGCCTTTTTTGGTGAAGCAGACATTTTCGCCCGATTGTGTTTTTATCTCATACTTTTATGTATCTGTGTACAGGACAGTGCACCGTTGCTCAAGCCACTTGGCTGTTTTCAGGCACGCAAATAAACCCCATCTATCTATCTATCTATCATTCCCGATGCAAGCCTTGATTCGTGTTCATCAGTTTTTTTGTCATCCCTCCTGCCGTTGGTGTTTGTGTTTGGATTCATGGTGGTCAGCAAGTTGGTTGAGACGTGCATTTGTCCCTTGTCCCCAAATAGACAATATGTGAAATTGTTTGAACGTCTGGCAACACTGCGTGCTGCCATTTTTGTTGCATTGAGATTCCTCTACTATTTGTCAATTTTGTAGTGTTGTAAGTAACAAGCGAGGCCTACTGCTCACCGTCATAAATCCTCACCCACACCTGCGAGCTAACGGTTAGTATTGTTTTTGCTCTTGCGCATGTATGTGCTTGTCCCCCCGCCGGTCACCGGTTTCTTGCCACAACCAACATGGCGGACGTACACTTCAGCTTGAAATTTTACTTTTGAATGCCGGCAAAGGCGCAGGCCCCTGGTTTTCAAAAGAGCTTTCTCTACACAAGTGCTTGTGCGAGTGAAGGATTCTTCTGAACTACACTTTCACGCCCTGGCCTTTGCCAGCACCGAAGCCAACTGGTGAGACTGAGCGTGTTCTTCGACGTCCCACTAGATGGTGCTGTGCATTTCGCATATGGGAAGCTTCTAGGGGAAGCTCATTGCTGTTTGAGGTGAGGACGGGTGTTCTGCGAACCAGAACATACAGAGTGAAGTACCAGGAAATTGATACAGTGTGCACTGCTTGTGGAGAGGACGAGACAGCTGAGCACTTGATACTCTACTGTAAAGGGCTTCACCCTATGCCTACCGAAGACAACATAGATTTAATAAAGTCATTGGGTTTTAGAGACAGCGAAGGGAGAGTGGATTTCAAGACTGTAGAGATTACCAAGCAAAGATTAAGTGAATGGTGGCAGAAATCGAGAGAAAACTAGGTATTTTCTTATTCACTGATGGCAAGGGGGTTTCATAGCCTCACTTTCTTTGCACTGCGGAGTGAATATAGATTTCACATTTAAATATTCTAAGCTTAAATGGTAAAACAAAATGGCTAGGTGTCGTAAGCTACCGCCCGATCCAAAGGGCTCAGCCGTATTCATCCATCCATCCATCCATGGTCTATTATGCCCAGCAAGTTTAGTTAGAACTGTATTTACTTTTACCAATTAAAAGGTA